CTGGCCACCGGGTATATCTAGAAACCTCGATGCTGTCGGCATACTGTCGGCGCACTGCGAACAAAAAAACAGTACAATGTCCCAGCTGTTCACCCGGAACGAAGACTTCATCGAGGATAACCCCCTTTCTCCGCAAAGTAATCGCTGCTCACGAGTTGGCGTGCATAGTGTAACAAATTAAACGTATTAGTATAAATATATACCAACACTCGTTCGCAAAACATCTCTTTACTCACCATAAAAACACTTGCAAGGCTTATGTACCGTCATATCTCTTAGATCTCGGACTGCTGAAGAGTGATGCGTTCGCGGAATGCTGCCTTCGGTTAGTTTAGTAGTCCCTCTGAACTACCGCTTTGCTTGACGTGCTAATAGGTATGGTGCGTCATTAACATAACAGCCGGATCGAAATTAATGTTCAGCAGAACCAAGCAGAACTATTAGCCCTCATTAAGCGACGTCGCGGCCATTTTGCTTGTAGGTACTGCTCCTCCCTCGGCGCCCCTGCTCTCCCCAGTCACGTGACCTAGAATTCCCCCTTCTAGGGACAATAGTTGACTTTAACCCACGGTTTGCGTTAGAGAAAACGGGCACTGGTGAGATTGGTCCATTGATTCTTGATGAGTGCATATACATCCAAGTAAGATACTGCTCGTGCCTAATGCGTGATCTGTATTCGGCTGACGTGCTTAAGCACTGAGGATGCATCACGAGGAAGGGGGATCAGTGATCGAGTGTCTTAACGCAACGCAGCTCGGAGCGCGTGTAGCGAAAGCTCGCGCTGCGGAACCCTGGTATCCTGGGTCCAATCCCCACCACTCCTGCCCGTTTCAATGTGAACGAGCATCATACCGGCGTCGGTCGTGTATCGCTGGGGACTTTTAGCAAACCGGCGCCTTGTTTTCCGCTTACCGCACACCGGAGTCTGCAAAACGTGCTTTTAAGCGCGCGCTCCGAAGTCACGATATCAACCGGGCGCGCGCTTAAAAGCGTGCTCCGAAGGCTCCGGTAGTGCGGTACGCGGAACACGGTAACGGTTTGCTAAAGGTCCCCATTACTGCGTGATGCACGCTAAAGGGGTACGGAAACGAAATGACGTCAGCGCGAGTTCTCATCCTCGCTTCAAAGTCGGCCAGCGAGAAGCGCGATGCGTATCGCGCTCACGACGTCAATAGTTCATGCACAGTCAAGGGTCTTGTGGTTGCGAGCCTTGCCGCTTGGTTGTGTCAACGCGTGACAATCTCGCCTACTAGTATTATCCGAGGACTGTATGCCCTATGGCTTATACATAGCTTGCCCGTAACGCCATTTGCGGCCATGCCGGTATTTCATGTGACACGAGCGTTCGGTCCACCGTGTTTGTTTCACAACGCAAAAGTATTAGCCCGAGGGAACAAGTAAGTAGAAATAACCGTCAGTACCCAGCAATGGCGGCACCTGCAAGCTATGTAAAGGGTGTCAAAAAAAGAGTTTTACAGTTTTTTTTAATGCAAACATAAACTAGGCATCGCCGAACGCTCATTCTTCACCCAAAGGTAGCGCTAAAAGTCCTAACCAGATGCCAAAGGTTCAGCCCGATGCAATACCTTATTCAAAAGTTATGTTATTTTCTAAACCGTTCAATGGGAAAATGGCGGCCGACGGTGTTTTCGAATACATGAGGCTCTATGGCACCAGAAACCGAAAGCGGACAAAAATGGCTCCATTTTCCCATTAAAATTTTTAGAACATCACTTATAACTTTTGAATAAGGTGTCCGTTCGAGCTGAAACTTTGGAATCTGGTTGTGACCTGTAGCGCTGCCTTTGGGCAGAGAATGAGCGTTAGGCAATGCGCAGTATATTTTTGCGGTGAACAAAATGTACATTCGTTTTGTGAAACTTTGTATATAAGGCATTCACTGGGTCCCATGTTTGAGTGAGATATAGGAAGTATTCACTGGCGGCCATAGCTGTGTGCGCGACTGCTGAGCGCGTGCTGATGGCGAGCTTCCACGGTTTTTTTGGAACGTGCATTCCACACCATAAAGATTGCGACATTAGTAACCTAATGATGTGGGCTCGTTCTGAGCATGCGCTCTAGACAGCACCCACGAATATGGCGTCCAGTGAATACTTCTTATAGACTCCTTTCAAAATTCACGTGCCGATTGAAGAAAAAAAATCCGACCTACTGCACAATGGTGGAACAACCGACATCGCGGAACGTGTAAGTATATAGCGCGAGGGGGCAGCGCCGACCTGTGCTGTCGAAGCACGAGGGTTCGCGAGCCAGGACGCATTGGAACCTAAGAGGCTCGCACTTGTCTCAGTCATTGTGCAGCGACTCCTCGGCTTCCAACAGAAGCCTCACTTTCGAAAGAGGTCTGTTCACAGCGCAGGGAGGGGGAGGGGGGGGGGGGGGGGGGTTGGGGCTGGCCTGGGAGAGGTCCCCGCATCCTCAGATCAAGCTCCTACCACACGTCTGCAAAGAACGGCGATCTTGATGGTGTGGAATGCACGTTGCAGAAGCACTCTGGAGCTGAGACTACAGAAAATGCCAAAACCACGAGAGCTCGAGGTCGCTGATTTGAAGCGTTCTTCCGTAGAACGAATGCCCGCGCTAGAAACGTATGCCCCAAAGCCGAGGCGTGGGCTAGCTCGCGTTTATAGCTTTGGCTGCAGTCTCAGCTTATGGGTGAATGAAGTATAGTAAACGCGTTAGCGTTCTCCGCCATGTCCCATTCAGGACTAAGTAACTCCACGACCACGTCATACTGCCGCGAACTGGCGCTGCTTCTTAGGCACTCAAGGCGTGGCGGCATTCCAAGGGAGCTTCAAAAACAGCCACGAGATGCAATTTTGAAATTTGTTAATTCGTTTTAAATTTAGTTTTCTTGACTTCTCTGCCTGCAGCACACAAACACAAGTCTAGGCTAGCGTTTTTCGGCTGCCGGCACAACATAAATCTCATATAGGAAAGAAATTCAAACGTTCGTTTCCGTACCCCTTTAAAAGGCCATGAAATTATTTTTCAACTCCTCCCCTCCTTAAGTTTCCTCCTCAACTCAAAACCAAAATGAGAAATCACGCGGTCATGGCGTGCTTCGGCACAAGTACGATGACTCCAAGGTTCCACCGTCCTTTTGGAACTTCGAGCTTGTCATACCCAAGTGACTAGCGTCCTATCAACTGTCCTGCATACTTTCCAAAAGTAATCAAAAATGCATTGCCAAACAATGATAAGTGTCGTCACGGCACTCATTGGCCATGAACGCGAATCCAAATATTCGTCGATGGATTGATTGTTGACGAGCGCAATCGTCTGAGGGACGCAGTGCTTGTGTCCGATGCGTGAGTTGACGTGCTTTGGGTACCGCGGATGTATCACAGTGAAAAGGCGGAAAGACCCCGAGGAAAGGGGGTACAAAATAGTCCTCTAGATTTTCAAATTTTCGTATCGAAAAGCAGGCATTTGACTTTCTATTCTCGTGCACTAGTTTTCGTTTTACACAATAAATGATTTGCAGTTAGTAAAATTTCTATTCAAACTGATTTATTCAAATCCCCCAAAAATTATTTTATGGTCCCTATAAAGGACACAATGAGAAACGATCTTTTCAGAATAAAGCTTTTCAATGATCTTCACAGACTCTCTACAGTAACCGTCTACACGACAACATCCCAGCATTCATCACTACACGTATTTACTCACAATTTCGCTACCCTGTCGACATTGTGTGCATCACAGGTCACGAAGGAATGCTGGGAAACGAAAGAGCACATCAGCTCGCCCGCTACACTTTCAACTGGGCACCCAGTATCCTCGGGCCTATCCACGCAAAGAAGCACGCACACTTGCCAGCACTACAGGCCTACCGAAAAGACCGCCGATACTTCTCACTGCTCCACTCCAACCTATCACGGCAACAAGGCGTCGAAATTCGGTGCGCACAAAGAAATACCCTGCCCACACCAGCACGTATATAATATAAGTACGTTCTGCGCAACACCCACCGGATTGCCTTCATTGCAAGGGCTACCCAAGCACCTCCCAAATTCTCTGGACTTGAGCCCCTCCCAACCCTCCCCCTCCCCAACCTCCCTCTGTCTTCCTCCTAACCTAGGGTGGCTGACTACTGCCACTGAACTTCAAGAGCTGGCCTACCTAGCCGACTATGTCCGGGCAGCCCAGCTGTGGACTCCGAGAGCAGCTATGGACTGAAACATCAACCCCACCTGCCAAGAAAGTTCTCTCTTTCTCTCTTTCTTTTTTATTTCTCTTTCTCTTTAATTTGGTTTCTCTCTTTCTCTTTCTCTCTATCTCTCCATCTTTTTACGGCGAATTGGACATTTATCAGCCATCGTCAGCTTATAAAATTCAAGAGGAAAACGCCCACGATTCCTTGATTCATTGCAAAGATTAGGTTCAATATTGATTGATATTGAGATCTATTTACACTCAGAAGAGCCGCAGAAAAACAATAGTATCTATTCCTCACCGGTACGCAATAAAATATTTATAAGAAGACCGAGTGGCTCACCGTTTGGGCAGACATCATCTCCAGAAGCTTCTATATCTTTGTTTTTTCCTATTATTAGTGTCAAGACGCGTGCACTTCGCTTCGTCTTCATTTAGCGCATGCTTCGTCCATACGTTTCAAATAGAGTGGTCAGGTCAGGTCAGACAACGTTTATTAAGAATGAAATTCAACTGGCGGTTTACGCTATGGTAGGGCCAGAGGGGAGAGGGTTATTGGGATGATGGAAAAGCGTAGCGTTGTAATTGTGGCAGCTACAAGTCTCTGCCGAGGTTGGCCGTCTTCAGAAAGTCGACCAGCGATCGGAGGATGAGGCTGCGTTGTTCGGAGTCTCCTGCGGGGTTTGCCCATTTGTCGAGTGTTGAAAGTTTGTCTTCATGGTTGAGTGCTCCCAGGGCGTCATTGCGTTCTTGGTCGACCTTTGAACATTCCCAGACCATGTGTTGAGTGTCCGCCTTGAGATTTTCTGGGCAGTACTTGCACTGGTCTGGTTTGGTACAAAGTCCAGATCCTTCTTCTTCTTCTTAGCGTTCGCCCATTTCTTCATTATTGATGGGTGATTGCAGCTCCTGCTTGGAGTCTTCTCAGCAGGACGGGTTCGTGTCTTCGGAATTACTTGGGGAGGCTTTCCTGTGCCACGTCTTTGTGCTTGTCAATATTTTTCTTCATAGCGATCCTGGCTACTTTAATTTCCCAAAAAGGGTCGTAAAAGCCGTCAGGTTCGCTCTTCGCAGACATTGGAGGAGTGCTCTAGAGAGCTGTAGTGGCAAGAGTGTCGGCCGCCGCGTGAAGATTTTGTGCGTAGACGATACCGTAGCGCTGCTGTTCTGAGCCCTAGGAACGTGCTCCCGTCAGCCTTGTTGTCGGCGCTGTTCGGCGTGCACTACTGTGGTTCAACTGGAGCTTTTCGCGACGCAGAACAATGGCCAATGTAAAAAAAGGAGGTTTACTTTTGCACTAATGCGTCTAGGTATGTGCTATCCCCTACTTTAATTATTGGAGTGTTTTTGAAGGAGATTATTTTATTAATATCGACCCCCCCCCCCCCTCCTTCCCAGTACTGACAGGTCGTTCAGCAACGCTATCACTTGGGCTGCGCGCTTAATAGCTGCGAAAGAAACCACGCGGTACTGATATAACAAGAAAAAATAGACAAATAATCACAATAAATCTTCTACTTTTTTAATGGTGAGAGGAACAATAAACTGCATGGTGTATTGTTTTTTGTCATCGTGTTGCTGATGCGGGGACCAGCGTTGTGTAAGGTGCAAGGCCGAGCGCGTTTGGGAACGGCCAAGGTGCCACTGCAACTGGCGAGCATATAGCAAATTGTCTTTTGTGGAAGGCAGTCTATGAAAAAGAAAATATTTCGATGGGGAGTACATGAAGCATTAAAATACAATATAAACAAAATCTTCAGCAGCCCCAAATAGGAAGAAAAGTATTCTCAACTTACTACTTTATGACTTTTCAAAAGTGGTAATACGCTTCATCTACATACACAGCAAGATCAGAGATATCCAGCAACATACTACGCAAAAGGACTACAAATAAGCCATAATATATTGCGGTATAAAATCCCAACCTTCTCGCCTTTGACGATGTGCATATAGTCCCGAAGGACAAGGCGCGGTTAAAAATGTATCTCGCACACCGCTGATCTCTCGGCGGGGCGTTTATCTCCTCGGTTAAGATTCTTTTTTCCATTGTAGTCTGCGCGACTGATGGGGAAGACTCCCCACCACAACACCGCAAAGAAAAGTGCTACGGTGCTACGTTCGGGAGAAGCGTACCGCCTCAGCTTCGTCGTCTTCTTCGCTCATCGCACATCTGCCATCTGCCACAAATTCTCCTAGGGCACGGAACTCCAGCGCCACTCGCTGCACCTACTTGACCGCCTTCACGCGGCCCATTGTAGGCGGTGCGCCACCCTTGCCACTACGTCCTCTAGAGCAATGTCGTTTCAAGTATCCTGCGTTCAAGGATCCTGGGTTCAATCCCCACACCCACCCATTTCAATCCGGATTAGCATCATACTGGCGTCCGGTCGTGTTCAGAATACTGCCTGGAGCACGTTAAAGGAGCTGTGCAACGATTTTAACGTTGAAAGAATTTGCATTTTCTGCTTTTGACATTGTTCATCCTGTCACAAAGGACAGAAAACCCACCTCCTTCCTTCAAAATGTTGCGATTTCGCCGCGTAATCGCGAGGCAAAAATTATAATATTTCCCGACCTGCAGCCGCGAGCGGCGGCCATGAGAACCACGCCGCATGATGTCAATGGCGGACTTGTAAAAAGACAGGAAGTTGTGCAAATACCTGCCCGATAAAAGGTAATTTTTCTATAAATATTGTCGTACCAACGTAAATATAAACGAGTCAAAAACCTGGTATTATCGACAAAACTTTTATTATAGGGAGTTTTAGTGGCTTCATATGTCCCAGGACAATAATCCCGTCAGCTCTATCCGCTACCGCGAACAGCCGCCAGAAGCCGGAGGGTGACGGGGGCAAAGCCAGACGGGGATGGCCGGACCCGGACGACACTTGCCTACTCTCCCCAGTCCCCACGTTGATCACGCTGCGCAAGCACGCGTCCACATGGTCGCGAGCGGGTGAGTTCTGGCGGCTCACTGATGGCGCTAGAGAGAGAGCTTCACCGGAGCCGCGTGCGTCCCCCATTCACGTAACAGCGCGCGTAACTCGGAAGGTTGTGAAAGAGTTGAGAGGTGCCGAAAAGCTCAATCTTTGTCAAGTTTTAAAATAAAAACTAGGATATGCAGGCCAAAGCGGTATTTTGTTCTTTACTTCAGAAAGGTCGAGACACCAACTCCCAAATTATTTAAGCAAAACATTGAAATGGTTGCACAGTTCCTTTAATGACCCCAGGCTTGTGGTTGTACTTCAATGGCTAAATTGCCAATCTACAGCTGAGACACCAGACGCCCATTGGGGTTAGCTTCCGGCTGCATAAACATACGCACAACACAATTAATTACAGGTGTAATTCGATGGATCTTAAAGGAGCGGTGCAACGATATTCAATTCGAATGTTTTTCACTTTACACCAGCTTACTGGCACTAGTGGGACTCAAGGATACTCGCACGCAACGCCGCTGGTCAAGAAACAACTTTGTTGCGGTGTAATTTCAAGGGTAAAAGTGATCATTTTCATTCAATCTCTCCTTGGCAAAATTTGATGACGTAACGTAGGGATCGCAGTACACCCCGATGACAATATTTGAATGCGGTTCACAGACTGGACTCGAGCATTGCGTGGACACTCGATTTGGGCTCGTGACAATTACTAGCTCGAGAAGCATTCGGGTTGTCGCCGTGTCTAATCGCTGCAACGACGACAATAGCCGAGCCATAACAATGTCTAAAACTCAGGGGGGGATCGGTGGCCGAGTGGGCTAAAACGCACACCCAGCTCGACGCGCGTGGAGCGAAATCTCGCGCAGCAGAACCCAGGGATCCTGGGCTCGAGCCCCGCCCCGGCCCGTTTCGATCTGGATGACCATCGTACCGGCGTGCGGTCGTGTATCACTACTGCGTGGTGCACGTTAAAGACCCCAGGCTAGCGGTTGTACTGCACTGGCTAAATTGCTCATCTACAGCGTGTGACTCGTCGCAACTTTAATGGCTGACCAACTACACGCTGTATAAATATCCCCACAACCCAAAATCTGGAACTCAGCGCGTGTCCTGTGCTTTGCCAACCCCGGCGCGTGGCTATGATCAACATTGGCGGCATATAATCGGCTCCAGATCACGTGGCCGCTTGTTCTGGCTGCGAGTTGAAAGGGTGAAGGCTACTCGTTTTTCTTTCATTTTTTTTCTGGGAGTTCTATTGCGTAGGGTGAAAAACGAACGCGTGTTTCATAGGTCATTAACGTCAGGGATCCGTTATAAGCGGTATTTGTGCAAAGTATAAAAATTGTTGCATCGCCCCTTTAACAGACGGGCATTGAGGCACCCTACACAGAAGCGTTCGCTTACGTTTTCTTACGTTACGTGATGTCCCCGAAAAATTCGTGCCTCCAATATCGCGTGCGAGCCTATTTTTCTAACTGGTTTTCATGTTTTATATAAAGCACAAGTGTCCTGGTGACTGTTGACGTAACACCATTCATACGATTGTAAAGGTACCTTTAGCTGAGGGACCTTTATGGTCCGGCTGCGAATCAGTTCGCGATCCTCCGCGCGTGAAATGTGCTCGCGATTCAGGAGCGGGGTTCTGATTTGCCGATTGCAAAGGGACCAATGTCTAAAGTACCTTTAAGCTGGTCGTGTAAACTGGATGTTAGACTTCCGTAATGTAAGAAAAAAGTGCGGTATGGACGGCCCTTATTACTAGACAGTTTTAGTGGACCGTACGCTATAGCTTTGCGTACGCAAGGAAATTGCCGGTCGTGAGTGCGCATGCGCAGAACGCAATAAAAGGGCTAGCGTATTGCGTACGCACGCAACGCTGGGGATTTTGCGTTGCTGGCTAGCGGGCCTTGCGGGACGCTCTCGAGAGATCTCGGACCCAACGAGAGCGCCAGTTTCAAGATGGCGGTTGCCTCGACTGGCGCAGCAAGGGCGACGTGGTGTTTTCGAAGTTCTGTGTTACGTGAAATTGCGTGATGTTCAGCTCAGCGATTCTTTCTCGGACCTACCGCGGTCGGATCAGATCGCCGTGCTGCTGAAGGAGTGCGCAGTGAAAATGTTCGCCGCTTGGAATGAGCGTCGACGCTGCGATCTGCTCAACGCGAAGCCTATTCCCACAGTTCATCGCCGACGGACGAACGACTCTAAAAGAAATCGCCGAAGTTCTCGCTACGCACCGGACATCAGGGTCATGAATTTCATTCCGCGATAGCATTGATAAAAGGTGCCGTTTCCACGGGACGAGTGACGGAGGCTCCGTGATCGAATTTGGCTACGTACTCGTACTCGTAACCTCTGTACCCCGCAGAAAAGCGCGCTTGACGAGGCAGCTGTGGCTTGGTTCAATTTGAAATAAAATGATTGGACACGTTTTCATTTTCAATATTTCTTTCCAGGAGCATGGTTGCGCTATAAGCACGCGGAATTCTACGGCTCTAGCAAATTTAACCAAGATTATGCGCGGTGTTCACTCGAAAACGTAACGCACAACTAAATTCGGTCCGGGCAGGTCATTTTTATTGTACGCTATACTATTGCGTATTGCGTACGTAAGGTCCAGCAACGCTATACTAAAACTGTCTACTAATAAGAAGGAATGAACAAAAGGCCGATCAGCTCGCATGTCTTTACCCTAAGCGTGAACACTGCCTTTATTTATGTTGTATCGATATGGCCTAGACGTCGATAAAGGCGATAATTTATTGACAACAAAGTGTATTCCCTGCAGCGTGCTTCCCAGGATTCAGGACATCCGCATGCTGCAGAACGCTACTACATGCTGTTGGTAATGTAGGATTCATTTCGGCTTCAATCAACTAAATCGCGTACCCAGTCTGTTTACTCCTGATGAGCTTGACATTTTAAACTAAGCATGATCTTCCACAGACACG